TTAATAACTGAGAACCCTCCTGTCTATACAAAAGACAAAGTCAAAGTACCAACAGCAGACTGATTCAAAACAATTTTCTTTGGTAAGAGCGCATCTTGTGTGCTAGTACATATATGTTCGGCCATTCCTTCTCAGATATAATATGCTTTAACTCCATCTCCAAAAAGTAATGCAATTGCACTGATGGCTCAGATTTGGTAGAGAGCTGGGAGTTCAATATTGAAAATAAAATATCATTGGTGAACAGACAAATTTAGTAATCATTGTCACCACAGGTGATGATGTTGATATCATTGTTATATCTGATATACGCCCTCTTTGTGAGAGGCAATTTAGTAGCAAGTACGATTAGTTCCTAGCCTGTCTGCTCGCTTTAGGAACCAATTCTCTTATGAAATGCTTTAGCTTGTAGTTGAGACAATGTGATCCTTGGAAATAGGGAATTGACTCTTACAGTAAACAGTGTGCTAAACAGTGGCTAAGTGAACTCCTTACTGATTGCCAATATAAAACTGTATGGATCAGCAGTTATAACATAATTTTAATTTTATGACAAGACACGGAGGCTCATATTGCATATCCCTTTCTTTACTGTCCACCAATAGCAGCAAAGAATACAAACAGAATGAAAAAACAATGAACATACAGTGACATAGGCCCCTCCCTGCACATGTCCCAGTATAATAGGCAGCACTTCCCTTCCATTTCCCTCTTTCTTTGCTGCTGTTTTGTGCATGTATCATGCCGCCCGGCTGAATTCACGAATCCAGACCATTCGTTAGTTTCACCGGCATATAGCACATTCGCCTATTTGCCGCGTTCGACTAATTGATTTGTGCGTTTTACTCATTCGCCTGTTTTATTTACGTGAATTCACCAATTTTTATCGCACATTCGGTTCTTTTCTATTGCCGAATTCACTGGTTTTGCCGCGAATCTCACAAGACTTGCGGCGGCCATTTTCTGACTTCCTGTCTCTCATACTAACTCGTGTGTGTCTGTGTGCCTCTGGTCTGGACCCTGGTGAGATCCCTATCGTTTTTGTTCCCTATAGTTTGGGTGACTAACCCTTACTACTCTGCAACCTCACTGGTAGGAATTTTGAGCTGCATCCATTATGCCCAAACCCAGGATGCCTTCCAGCTCACCACCCTCTGGGGTGATAGATGCCCCTTTGCCTCTGGGAGAGACCCCTGTCATCTATGACACGCCATCTACTCTGGCAGACAGACCCACCCAACCTGAAGGTGACCAATTCTTGGCGCTACAGCGCTCGACGACAGATGCCATTATGGCAGCCATGGGGTCCATGTCTTCTACCCTTTCCCATACCGTCTCCCAGGCCCCTCTGCCACGTCCTTTGGACGCGCAAATGTCAGGTTCCACGATGCCTCTTCCGTGTCCCACTATGGACCTGTCTAAGGGCGCACCTAAGAAGGCGACCCATAAGTCCAAACACCCCTTTGCCTCCAGAACTGTTATGACTGGCGTACCTACGGTCGCCACAGAAAGCGTGTCCCACCCACGCAAAAGGTTTCCGGGGTAACACCGGCTCCAGAAGACCCTATGGTGAGGCAGAATGGGCGCGGCTCTGGAAATGTGCTAGAGCACAACCTGAGAGTGACTCCGACTCAGAAATCGGGTCAGGTGAGGAGGCTATGGTTGAGTCGGATGACGAGACAAGACCGCTGAGCTGGGCCTTGACCTTCTTCCCTCTGCTCAGGCAGAAACGTCCGGAGGTGACATGGGGGCACTTCACCCCGCAATCGCGGGGGCCACCCTCTTGGATCCGTTGGGAGAACCTCTCTTCGACCCAGATGAGCTTCACCATCCGAGGTAGGCGGAGTGGCTCTCAGCGGACCATGTAGCCAAGTACCTTGAAAATTGGATACGACGCCCGCTCAGTAAAGCGGCACGGAACAAACTGAAGGCAGAGTGCCCAAGGCATACGGTGCCGAATAAAGTCTGTGATACCCCCGAAGTTGATCCAAAAATGACCCAGTTCCTAACTAAGATGGGCTGGAACCCACCTAAGGGCCTTGACTCTGCCCTAAAAGCATGCCAGGATAAACACTTAGACATATTTGGTCCGCTGGCAAAACTTTTCGAACTTGCGGAGGATGCCAGAGCTGGAAACCATATGGTTGACCCCGAAGAGCGTAAACACCTCCCTCTCTCTTGAACGGTGTAAAGCCATTTTGTTTAAAATAGAGCCTAAACTGGCCAACCTTGCCCTAACAGAGGCTGGGAAGGATGCCCAAGGATTATTTGGCGACTCCTTCATTAAAGACCTGGGGCGCTTTGTGGGGGCATTCACGGCCCTTAACAAGGCCCAAACCTCCATGAGATGGGTTTTTCAGGGAAGGGTCTCTACCAGGGCCAGCAGATCCAGGAGCCGTCTGTCCGGCTGGTCCTACTTTCAGTCCTGTGGCTCGGGACGAGGCTCCTTTCAGCACCGCTACAACTTCCAGGAGACCAATGCCCGCTCCCCATTCTTCCCATCATGCGGACGCCCATGGCGATACAGAGGTTTCCGGGGTAACACCGGCTCCAGAAGACCCTATGGTGAGTTTACTCATACCGCATGTTTCTTCGCATGTTTATGTAGGGAGCAGACTCCAACATTTTTTCCCAGCCTGGGCACAGTTAACCTCCGACCCCTGGGTACTAAACACCATTCGAGGTTTCCACATAGACCTTGTGGTGAACCCTGTAACTATCCCGCCTCCTCGACCGATCTACTTCTCCATCCGGGATCACAGGTCGATCAACGAAGAGCTATCCTCGCTCCTCACCAAGAGAGCGATAGAACGGACACCCCCGGACTCCACGGGAGTTGTAAGCAATATTTTCCTAGTGGAAAAGAAGGGCGGCCAAATGCGCCCAGTCATAAACCTGCACCCACTCAATGCAATGGTCAGGTACCGCCATTTCAAGATGGAGGGTATCCATCTGTTAAGAGATCAACTCCTTCAGGGGGACTGGTTGGTAAAGCTGGATCTCAAGGATGCATATCTCACCGTGCCTATAGCTGAAGCATCCTGAGATCTCCTGCATTTCCATTGGCAGACAGGGACTTGGCGGTTCACATGCCTGCCCTTTGGCCTATCATCAGCACCATGGTGCTTCACAAAACTGCTGCGCCCAGCCATGGCCTGGCTACGCAGTTGAGGCATTCGTCTAATCATATACCTAGATGATATCCTGCTCATGGCCCAAGATCACAATATACTTCTGGCACACCTGCGGCTGGCAATGAACCTGCTCTCCCACCTGGGGTTCATTATCAACCAAGAAAAGTCGTGCCTGACTCCCGCCACTCGCATGGAATTCTTGGGATTCCTAGTGGATATGGAGATGGCCACTTTGAGCCTTCCAGGGTCCAAGACTCGTTCAATACGCAAGGAGCTCCGCAGGGCTCTCTTACGACCGCAACTCACCTTGAGGCAAGTGGCGCGCCTCTTCGGCCTCCTAGCAGCCTGCATTCAGGCAGTGTTCCCAGGTCCGCTCCACTACCGTACGATGCAATGCTTAAAAATAGCTCACCTGAGGGCTGGCGCATCCTACGCTATGGTTGAGTCGGATGACGATGGTATCTCTAGACAAAGAGACAAAGGACGAATTGCGATGGTGACTCCTCAACCTGTCTGCTTGGAACGGCAGGGCAATCTTCGGCTCCATGCTGGAGTTCACCATCGACTCAGATGCGAGCCTCCATGGCTGGGGGGCTCATTGTGCGGGTGTGGCGACAGGGGGTCGCTGGTCGGAATCAGAATGCCGACTCCAAATCAACGCATTGGAACTCTTGGCAGGCTCCTTCACGATCCGCAGCTTCGCGAGGTGCAGAGCCCATACATGCATCCGCCTCCGCATGGACAACGTATCAGCGGTGAGGTATGTCAACCACTTGGGCGGTACTCAATCTGCGGTCCTGGCCAGATTGGTGAAAGACTTTTGGGACTTTTGCTTAGACCGGGACCTGGTGGTTCAAGCGGAATACCTGCCAGGACTACACAACGTCCAGGCGGACTGGGGCTCACGATATCTATTGGATGCCAGCGACTGGAAATTGGACACGAACGTGTTCTCCAGTATATCGTCTCTTTGGGGACCTTTTGCTATAGACCTATTCGCCTCCCGGCTCAACACCCAGCTCCCTCGATTCTTCAGCTGGACGACGGATACGGCGGCAGAGGCAGTGGACGCCTTCCTGCAGGTTTGGAGCAGAGACCTCCTATATGCCTTTCCCCCGTTCTCCATGATCCCTCGCGCCCTTCTACACTCTTGCAGATATCAGGCCGAACTGGTCCTAGTGACCCCGTTCTGGGACACACAATCATGGTTCCCTCAACTTCTCGGGATGACGATAGATCATCCCAGACTGTTGCCACCCTACCAGAAACTTCTACGGGATCTGATAGGGTGTTGCCACCCTCTCCGGTTAGAGGGCTCCCTCCTGCTGCTGGCGTGGCGGATTTCAGGGGACCCTGGGAGGTCCAGGGAGTTTCGGACACTACTAGATGCCTACTGGCAGCGGCATGGGCCCCAGCACTAGACAGGCATATGGGTCAGCTTGGCGAGCTTGGGCTGGTTGGTGCCTGGCTCGGGACATGGATCCCGTTTTAGCCCCTGTAACTGCGGTCCTACAGTTCCTGACTTCCCTCTTTGAAACAGGTAAGGCATACAGAACCATCAACCTATATCGATCAGCCATCTCCTCAACACATCAGGGGTTCGATGGCTGCCCAGCGGGCCAGCACCCCTTGGTGTGCCGACTCCTTAAAGGTTCTCGCCTCTCTCAGCCACCCAGACCGCGCTACACTGCGACCTGGGATGTATAGGTGGTGTTATCCTTCCTCGCTTCTTGGCCCACTAATTCCATGCTCTCCCTAAGACAACTTTCAGCCAAACTGGTCTGTTTGTTTTGTCTCGTCTCCTGTAAGAGGGTCTCGAATGTCCGAGCACTGGACTTTAATGACAGATCGTACACCCCAGAAGGAGTGACATTCAATATCAGCAGATGCACCAAAACGTCTATTAGGTCAGTATCCTATCCGAGTTTCCCCACTACACCGGCGCTGTGTCTGGTGGCTTGCCTACGCGCATATGAGGATCGCACCAAGCTACACCATTCCGCATCCTCCCCCTATCTATTTTTATCTACCCGTCCGCCGTTTCAACCCATAACTAGCACCACTTTGTCTCGATGGGTTAAATGGCTACTCTCTCAAGCCAGTATTGACACTGTGATTTTCGGCGCCCATTCGATCAGGGGGGGCCTCGGCATCTTCAATGATGGCTTCAGGCGCACGCCAGGAGGACCTCATGAAGATGGCCGACTGGTCGAGGGAATCGGTTTTTCGAGAATTCTTCTTCAGACTGGTTCCTCATACGTTCGCGGCACTAGTCGATCAGCTTTAAACTTGCAATATGAGCCTCCGTGTCTTGTCATAAAATTGCATGATTTTGCTATTACATGACGAAAAGTCATGATTTTATTAAAGACACGGAGGCGAGTATTGGGATCTGTGTGGGAAGGGATTTGACTTTGTAACTATGCCAGTTTGGGTCTATCTGGTTACTTCTCTGCAGATATTGGTGGGGCCTTGCTCTGTCTGGCCTGGATGTCAGCCTCAAGTACCGGTTTAACCCTTGGGCTCCTGTTCTTTATGTTTTCAAAGCCTAATCTACTCCGGTGGAATGTCTGGCTTCAGCGTGTGAAGATCTCTCCCTGCGAATACAGTTTGGTCGGCAGTCATCAAGTTGTGCTTCCATGTTAATTGATGTTATGATTCTCCTCTTGGGTTGAAGTTTTTACGTTTTCGTTTATCTCTGGACTATGTTGCTGTTCCTGTTTTGGCCTCTGTGTATAGTGTCGCATCTTCAGAAAGCGGAAAATGGAAGGGAAGTGCTGCCTATTATACTGGGACATGTGCAGGGAGGGGCCTATGTCACTGTATGTTCATTGTTTTTTCATTCTGTTTGTATTCTTTGCTGCTATTGGTGGACAGTAAAGAAAGGGATATGCAATACTCGCCTCCATGTCTTTAATAAAATCATGACTTTTCGTCATGTAATAGCAAAATCATGCAATTTTATTCCAGACACAGAGTGCATCAGACAATTGTTTTTTTCTTTAGAAAATATGAGAATTGCCATTGTATTTGGAATTCACAGTTTTTGCTGAATTTTGTCTATATGGACAAAATCCAGTGTTTTAGTGAATACCCTGGTAACATGTATGGATGCTCTTAAGGAGAAAGCATTATGGGGGCGGGGCCAGAATGCAATGGCTAAGGATGTGTTTTCTACGAGCTCTTCAAGTCCTGAATGAATTAGTCCAGTCACCAGCACTTTTGTTCATCCTGAGCAAATTAAGTTATCTTGGCATCCTGCATTGCCTCCGGTGTCGGTTTGTAGTTGTCCAAGCAGCAAATCCACATCAACTGCAAGCAAGGTCTAGCAGGCACTGTGACAGGGAGTGGTGAACAATCTTCCAGCCCGGCATGCGTGGGCCCAGCGATATTATGAAGCTGAAGCCCCTATGCCCCCACTATGGACCGGTTAGTCCCCAGCATGAGGGCTTCTTACCTCCACAATAGGCATGCTGTGCTGCCACTTTTCTAGGGGCATTTAAGCTAGATGCATCCAAAATTGCAGAGGCTGCATGTTCCTGGCTCCATCTGAAGGGAGAGTGTGGAGCACTGTGACAGCTGAACTACTTTTGTGAGGAATTCTGGCAGGACCTGCTACACCAATATCTCCAGCCTGCCCCACAATCGATTTATGTCTATATTTATATTTTTATTTAAAATATATAAAAAGACAAAACGTTATTGTTTCCAAGACAATCCCTAGTTTATAGTGTATTCTCAATTATTTATATATTCTCTTACTGACTATATAATATAATGACTAAGATATCTGTATGGATATCCCTGCTACGTTCTATGCTTTTAGACGTTATAGTGGTAAATAGGGGAACCGGCTGCGATTACAGAACCATCGCTAGTTATTTTGCATGTTTTATGATATAATACATCACTTCATATTAATGTGCTGCGATATCGAATGCCATACAATTGTAGATTATACTAGCTTTAGTGTAACTATAATCTTAATTTTATGAATGACAGGAGGCGAATATTTGCTTACATAGAGATAAAAACACCAGAGACAAAAAAAATCAGGAATCTATAAAAGGCTTCTCCCAGCTAACTATTTCCTCTTTCACGCTGCGACAAATAAAGTACATAAACAATACACCACAAATACAATAACAGGAGAAACAAACGTAACATAGCAATGAATGCCATCCGAAATTGAAACCGTGGAACCAGTGGGTGAAGCCTTGACCTTTATCCTGTAGAGTAGTCGGATCTAAGAGCTGTAGTCAAACCATTAAACTAAAACGAGATAAACAGAGTCGAAAACACGGATTAGCGAATCAAATGTACTGAGAAAACATGAATCCCCATCGTAAATACTGACAGTATAATATCCCAGATAGTGAAAAAACCTGAATCCCCATCATAAAATACTGACGGTACCATATCCCAGATAAACCCCAACTCCCCCTGATAACCAACCTAGCCCGGGAAACCAGGTGAATAAACAACAAGTCAGCCAAACCAACAAACAACAAGGGGAGGGAGAAACTGGGAGGGAAATATTCGCCTCCTGTCATTCATAAAATTAAGATTATAGTTACATTAAAGCTAGTATAATCTACAATTTTATAGCCTGACAGGAGGCTTCATATTTGCTGTTTTAATGCTCGGACGGCAAAGACCAAAGAAACACGATCCGCCGTACCAACCTAAACTCTGCGAAGATAGCTCCTCGTAACCGGTAGGAAAGCGTACGATGTCTTGGAGAAAAACGCCCGCCATGTCGGTACCTGAAGTCGCAGTGTTACGGACTGAAGTGAACCGAAAAAAACCTATACGCCCCGCCAATGCCAACCACAACAAAGCGGCACATGAAGGGCAAGAAAAAGGGAAGAACCATTTAAACAAACGGTGACGTCGAACACCGCCCAAAGCTGGGAGCACTACCAAAGTAAGAATATGACCCTCAGGTCCGACTAAGGCTGATAGACAACTAAGGTCCGAACCGCCGAACCCATCTGAAAGAAAAACAAGGTATAATAACGGAAATAAATCCAGAATCAGTGAATGGGCAAAACCCGACAGAACCCACCATAAGAGCATGACAAAAATGCGTGTACCCCCTGGGAAGATGAATACCCGCCCTCAGGAATCGTAAAGGGAATTCTAAGCAGAGCGAGGCCCGCCAACAACAGTCGTATGCGCTACCTAATCTAATTAATATGGCAGTCGCTGGTAATAAAGTGACTGAACAATACCTGTAAAAGCGGTAGCAAAATTAGGAGATCCGTACCAGACCCAACTACGTCAGGGTCGCCATGCAGACCAAAGTCTCACAATTCCCGAGATCAAATGAGCAAGGGTCCAGGGAATCCAGGAACTAGGTTGACTCTGCTGAAGCGGAGATCATAATTCCAAAGTACCAGCAGACCGAGGCACCTGTAGAAAGGCCCTGAGACCAAACAAACGGAGCAGACTTGTCTGCGTCTCCGTATCAAACACTACTGGAGGGAAGCGTCCATCTCTGAGCAAACGGGCCCGTCATCCAGCCGAACTGGTCGGGGCCTGATGGGTCCTCCTCCGTGTACTAAAGTCTTGACGCCGAGTCCTCCCAGAAAAAACTATTCCATACGTAAGAGAACTCGGGCAGAGGAGAGCGTAGGAGGCACCCCATTGCGTCCAATCTGCCCTCCAGGATTCCCCTCCTTGAGATGTAGAGGAGGAGAGCGTAGAAGGCACCCCATTGCGTCCAATCCGCCCTCCAGGATTCCCCTCCTTGAGATGTAGAGGAGGTCGATATTTCCATGGTTGAAAACGAAATCCAGGGACTCGAACAAGGGATAACGCAGGGAGCATCTGACCTTTTGGTCTGGGAGGTATCTCGCAGGGGGTCTGGCAAGCCCGTCCAGGTAGACCGTACAGCAAGATATCCTATATCGATGAAGAGTCACGTCCGGGTCCCAACGCATGGAATACGAGAAAGATCTCTTCAGATAGTTCTGGTATTCCTGAATGTCCTCAATTCCTGCCAACCAGGTTGTATTGTCGATCAAATGACTGATGCACAAGATACCTATCTCACCAGGGAGAAAATAGAGGCCACCTTACCAGAACTGGTCCCCGCGGTCCCTAGAAGTTTCTTGATGGCCACGTCTGATTCAAAGTAACTAATGAATATACGTTCAATCGTAGACTCATGCCGGGACTCCAAGGGGCTCAGATCCCTTTATCCCAAGCACCTCCAGCGGTCCAAATTGCGTTTAGGATAGGGTCGTCTGCCACCCCAGACTCCGGGCCCCGTCTGGGATGTCATCTGAAAGTGGAGGCAAGTATGAAATTCTCGGTCAAGGGTCCAATTGCCTATAAAAGGTACGGGTTGGAGCTGAGATAGGCCTCCGTCAAGTATTTCCACGTAAAAAAGGACACATCTTATACTTTCTCGTATGTTCCGCTAGCACAACTCACTCGTGTAGTGGAGAACAATCGGCTTGCAAGTGCGGACTTAATACCATAGGCACTCAGGATCTCCTGAATACCAGACAGGTGCTTAACCAGCAAAACTGCAGTGCCCCATTGGGGTCTAAGTCTGGGTTTGCGGCTACTTTGTTCGGGAGCCCGGCTAGGAATACCGCTCGAATATCCTGCGGGCTTCTCAAGCCAGCGGTCTACGGACCCAGAAACGCACCGATGGTGCAAGGTGATCGGGCAGAGACCATTCCAAATAAACCAGGTGAGCAATGGATCGCGGGTCGAACAGGGTTTCGTTTAAGGCGATCCACGAGACAACCTCTTCTTCCACGGTCATCGGGGCCACTGTAGTGGACTTTGTTCTACATCTCATGGTGCCACTAGGGGCCATCATCATAATCCACACCCCCAATGTCCTCTCCCTACGAGGGGAACCGGTCCACCCGCCATTCCGCTAGGGCGGCCATGGTGGGGTGGGGGGGTTACGGGGACCTTCACCCCTGCGCCACATAGGCAGTGTCGTCTGGCCATCAAGGCCAATCGTATCAGGGCTAGACACTTCTCCGGAGTCTAATCTTTCCGAGTGTCTGGTTCCAGGCCTTCACCCTACCCGTAGTGCTTATGCGCCTTTGCCTGCTCTCC